TCAGAATCAGTCAGCAAGCATTTATTAAGTACCTACTATATGCTAAGCATAGGGAACACAGACCAAAAAAAAAAAAGAATCCCCATTCTCAAGGAGCTTACATTCTTTGGAAGGGGACAAGACATATAATATATACAGGGACTGTGGTGACTCAACAGAAGGTATTTAGGGAAGGAGGGATCAGGAAAGGCTTCATGTAGAAGGTGGCATGTGTTTGAGCTGAGTCCTGAAGGAAGAGATAGATTTTGTGAGGCCAAGATAAAGACAGAGTGCATTCCTGGCCTGGCAGATGGCCAGTGCAAAGGGTGGTCACCAGTGTCAGAGGCTGTAGAGAGGTTCAGAAGGATGAAGAATGAGAAAAGAGCTTTGGATTTGGCAAGTAAGAGATCGCTGGTGGTAATAATAATTGGAATAGGGACTGGACCTCTGATTTATTGATTCAGGAAACACCGAATGAGGAAACTCCTTCTACCAATACAGGTCGGTACTTTCTCTGCAACTTACAGTCTTAAAGAATTGCCTAGGCACTAAAAGGTTAAGTGACTTACCCAGGATCACTCAACTAGTATGTGTCAGAGATGGGACTTGAACCCAAGGTCTTCCTAGCTTCTAGGCCAGCTCTCTCTATCCACTATGCCATACTGCCTCTAATTATAATATTAGCTAACATTCAAAAAGCTCTTAAAGGTTTGCAAAGCACTTGACATACATTACCTTATTTAATCCTCGTCATAGCCCTGTCAGGTGGATACTATTATTATCACCATTTTATCCATGAGGCTGAAAGACATTAAATGACTTGCCCAAAGTCACACAACTAATAAGCATCGGGGGCAGGATTTGAACTTGTCCTTCTGACTCTGAGTCCAATAACTTCAGAGCGAGCAGTTTCTATTGACTGATGAAGTTAGAGGCCAAAATGTAAAGGGTTAAGGAGTGAGAAGAGAGGAAGTAAAGATGACAAGAATAAACAGCTCTTTGAGGATGGGGGAGACTTAGAAATGTTTCAAGGTGACAGGGAAGGAACCATTAGATAGGGAGAGACTGAAGAGAGAGGAATGATTGAGAGCACAGTCTGCTGGAGAAGATAGGTGAGGGCTTGGGTTCAAGTCTTGTCGGACACTGGAGGAAAGGACATAGTGGGGAATGATGCCAAAGGGCTTTGAGATGGAGAGAAGGGGAGAAGAGGGAGCTTATGGTAAATGGCCTTCATTTTCTTTGTAAAGTCAGATGCCAGGTCCTCTACTGAGAGGGTAGCTAGAGGGGGAAGGAAGTATAGAAGGCTTGAGGAGAGAAAAGATTTGGAATAGCTTTTGTGGGGAGTGGGATAGGATGATATTAGGCAGAGATAAAAAGATTGCTTTGTGGCAGTGAGGGCCCAGTTGAGGAGAATGGAGAAGGACCAAACCTAGGAGACATTTTGAAGGAAGAAACAGGACCTGTTGCCATAATGGTTGTAAAGAATGAAGAAGTATGAGCTTGAGTTTCTAGCCCAAAAAACTGGTCAAATCATGTTTGCACCGACTGGGAATTGTATCCAGTTTAGGAAAAAAACGATGAATTTAGTCATGGATGTGTGTGGCATTTGAGGTGATGGTGGCATGTCCATGTTGTCCAGATCCAAGGAGTTGGAAATAAGGAACTCTAGGGAAAGTGGAAAGTCAGGACAGGAGACAGTGACAATGTCACAGTAGTTGAAGGCATGGAAATGAAGGAGAAGATCAGGGATGGGAGAAGACATGAAAGGAGACAGAGAATTTCAGGTCAAGAGGAACCTTAGAGATCATCTAGTCCAACATACATTTTATAGACAAGGATAATGAAGAGAAGGGAAGTGATTTTCCCCAGATGACACAGCTAGTTCTTGGTAAACGTCCCTGGCTTTGAGTGTATATGTAAATAAGAAAGCAGAATGACATTTTTTATTGCCCCAGACACCTGATAAGGGCCACATGCCTGCATGATCCTGGACTGGACAGAACAGACAACAGAAATGAATGAGGAATGCTTCTGTGGTCCTTCTTCTAGTCTGCCATAATTCTTCAGGATCCCATTTCTGTCTCTTTCTGTCAGATTCCTTCCCCAGAAGAAATACAGTCTGGGAAGGATGGAGTGTGTTTCTCAGCACTCACACTCTGCCTCTTTGAATAGCCAAAAAACCAAAGGGCTGTCTCAACGTGAGCTGCTTCTTTTTCTTCTCCCTGAAGTCCTTTGACCAAGTGGAGGAATTTAGCACCATGCCCCTTGAATCATTTGACAGCAGGGAAAATGTAGCTGCCTTCCTCAGAGCCCCCTGGGATAAGCCGACCCTGGGACCAGAAGGCAGGATCAAGAGCTGGAAGGGGCCTGAGAGATTGTCCAACCTCCCCAGTTTATAAAGAAGAAAACTGAGGCCCTGAAAGAGGAAGGGACTGGCCCAAGGTCACACATCTAGTCAGGAATTGAACTTGGATCCTGTGAGCCCAAATCAGTGTTCTTTCTGCTATTCAAGGCTGTCTTTCATTAGTGACCAGATAAATCACTGACCTGTTCTGGAAAGCCTGGCCTCTAGATGAGATTCCCCCAGTAGCCTGAGCCCCAGGAAATTCTGCCACCTCAACTGGCAACATCAGCGTTTGCTCGTCTTCTTAGGGAAGTCATCCCATGCCCATCTAGCTTTCTGCCCCTGAGGATCTCAAGGCCCTTTGCTGAGACAAAACTGACTTACCCTCCTAGGGCATCTGTGGCTTGGCCAGGAATGGCACTTTTCTGTTGCCCTATCTTGAGCAGCCTCAGCATTCTCCTCTGTAAAATTGTTGTCCTCAATAATCTCGAAGGTTTCTTTCAGCTCTAATACCATGGCTCGACTTGGGATCATCAGAGATTTCATTTGAGAGACCATTGCAGAATGCAGCGGCCCCATTTAGTATATAATCTGCATCAGAAGAAGGAAAGCAAAGCACGATCCCATAAATGCTAAGCTTCAGCTTGTTCAACTCTAGTCACCTCATCCCACTGCAGAAACACACTAATGCCTAAAGTGCTGTAATAACCAAAGGCCTTGACTGAGGCACGCAGAGAATAATAAGGCCCAGATACTGTCGAAGTTGCCAGGCTCCAGATAAATCCCATTAGCAACATGACATGGCGCCTGATGCTGACAAGCAGCCAGGAGCAGGTAGAGAAGATCAGATAACTGCAGCAGATCAAGCCCAGCAAGGGGCCTGCCACTGGGTGGGGCGGATGGCCCAGCCAAGCTCAGCCAGTCTTTAGGTAAGTATCACCAAGGGGTGAAGAGGTCTTAAATACACAAGGAAGTAATCTATAGGCTCTTGAGCTGGAAGGGACTTTAGAAGTCTGTTAGGCAAAACCCCTTGCATTTTTATGGAAGGAGAAACTGAGGCTCAATGTGACTAGATGACTTAGACTAGTAAGTAACCAAGCTGGAATGGGAAGTCAGGCGTCAGGCATCACACTGCTTGGTTTGGAGCCTGGCAGTGTGACCTTGGGTCCCCTCCCCCCCCCCCTTTTCCTCCTCTGAGCTCTCAGGTTCTGATCTGTGAGCCTCTAAGTTCAATGTATGCTCCTCTGTGAGGGAGTACACACGTGTTCTAGGTGAGAGAGGTTCAGGTGGAGAATGAGTCGGGAGGCCTTCCTGCCCCCTGACCTCTTTGGGGCTATGGCTGGGCGGGGGCTAAATCTGCTGCTTCCCAGGATGGAATGAGGGAAGAAAAATGAGCTAAGGATGAACCAGGCCAGTGCATCATATTTGTCAGAAGACAGGCCATCCTATTTTCCAAAATCGGGTTTAAGACCAGAGTGAGGCCTACGATTGCTTGTCAGTAGATGCCCACATGACAAGACATGCTTGGGGGGAGGTAGGGGAGTGAATAGGCTGGGGAACAGGGAATACAAGGAGGGCCAATCACCCAAGTTCCTGCCACCACCAGTGACGGATGGGCAGGTTGGCTTCTGCAGTGGGCTTTTACCAGGGATTCCACCATGACCAGTCTTAGGCTGGAAAAGTCCGCTCTCAGTTCTGACCTCAGACCTGTATTCAGAAAGCTGTGGATAAATCCAGGTACCCCGCTGTGTGCTTCTGCCCTCAGGCAGCCTTGCCGCTTCTATGGGGAAAGAGGTTGTACATGCACACGTCTCCTGCCTCCCTCCACAAACCCCTCAAAACACAGGGCACAGGTCTGTCCTGCTGTAACCGGCTCTGGACAGGGAAACAGCGACAAAGTGAAAGGGTCACATAGGTGTATTGTCTCTGCCAGTTCCTCTGACACGGACCCATCCTCCTCAGAGTCCTAGCTAACCAGGTCCTCTTGGAGAAAGCCTCGGTCCCTGAACCCAATCAAAAGCTGCCCCCAGCCCTCTCAACAGAGAATGGCCACACTCTGTGGGGAGAACTACACTGACAGGTCCACTCTTGACTAGGTGAAAGCTAGGCTCACATGTCCCTTCTGTATGGTCAGGCAGTCAGTCCGCGTCTATTAAGTGCCTACTATGAGCCAGGCACAGTGCTAAGAACTGGGGATACAGAGAAAGACAGAAGGCAGGCACTGCCCTCGAGGAGCTCCCAATGTATAGAAAGGAAGTAAATGAGCACTATTAAGTGCCTGCTGTGTGCCTTACAAATATTAAGTCAGTTGATCTTCTCCACGACCCTGTGAGGTAGGCGCTATGCTTCCATACAGAGGGAAAGCCGTGCCTACCTGTCCCCACTCTCGGGGACGGCGAGGCTCACATGACTGTATTTTATAGGGCAAGAATTAGGCTCACTTGTCTGTACTGTACAGGGGGAGAGCCAGGCACATATGTCCACACGGTTCATGGGGAGAGCTGTGTTCACGTGTCCATCTTCACTTACTGTTCTGGAGGAAGTCCCCGGAGCAGTGCCATTTGCATTTGATTTGCTTTCTTCCTTCATAACCATCTCATTCTAACAGCGTGGCCCGACTTGGACCAACCCACTGCATGGCTGTGCATCTCACCTGTTTCCTTTCTCCACATTTTAGATTTCCCGGAAAGCTCATCATCGCTTACCATTGAAATGGAGACATAGCACTTTTCCCATCTCCTGCTTGTGTCCACTAGGTCAGTACTGGGGAGTGCTGGAGGAGGAGAAAGTCCTCAGCCCAGTGAACCTGGGGTTAAAGTCATTTCCCTAATGTCATTTGCATAATCATTCTATAGGTCATTTCATGAAGGAGATGCTTCGAAGGATGCCCACAGCCCCTCCACTCATACCATACTTCTCATCTTGAATCGGTTCCAAGTCACAGGACAAACAGTATCCAGGCTTAGAGTGAGGGAGCAATGAATTCCATAGCAACATCATCAAAGTGAGCCCTTAGCTAAGGGTTTAGTTAATAAAAAGAACTCAACAGCTGTATAGTGGTTTGTGTTTTACCTAGTGTATTCCTCCTACAAACACTGTCATTATACCCATTTCACAGATGGGGAAACTGAGGCTTAGAAAGGTGACTTGCCCAGTGTCCCACAGCTAGTAGGTGTGGGAGCTATATTCCTGACCTTATAACAAACTGGCAAGGTGGCTTTCGTGTCTGCTCTTACCAGTGTCATAGACTGAAAAGACCACGTGGCAGCCGCTCAACAGGAGAGGTGGCAAGGTAGAGGAGAAAAGAGCACTGGCTTGGCAGTCAAATGCCACCTCTGACTTGCCCTTCCCGGGCCAGGTAGACTCATCCTAGGACAGCGAGGGCCTCCACCTGAAATGATCAAGGTCGCTTTCTCTGACCCCATTATATCAGTTAATACCGTACTTCCACCCCCTCACAAAGAACACCCTCCCCCCTTCCCCTGAGCAAATGCTGCTAACGTGTTAACTAGTGGCGGGCTCATTGGAAAGCCTTTTCTTAATGAAGAAGTAAACAGCTTTCTTCTCACAGCACTCCCAAATAAATAAACCCAGTATAATCCAGCAGGGAAAGATGTAATTCTAGTAACAGGTCTGCCAGAGAGCTAAGGGTAGCAGCTTTCTGACAAATGCTAGGATCAGATTGGAGGAGCTGGAAGGAACTTGAGAACAGAGAATGGCAGAGCAGGGAGGGACCTGAGAACAAGAAAATGCCAGTGGAAAGAACCATAGAACAGAGAATGGCAGAGATGGGCAGGGTCTTGGAACAGAATCTAGGTCCCTAGAATCAAAAATGTTGAAGCTAGAACAAGCCTTAGAAAAAGAAAAGCAGAACGAGAAGAGCCCTTGGAACAGAGAATGTCAGAACCAAGAAGGACCTTAGAATAGATGTCAAAGCCTATAGAGCCATTAGAACTTAAGAATGTCAGAGCCAGGAGGCACCTTAGAACCGAGAATGCCATAACTGGGAGAGACCTTAGAACAGAGAATGTCACATCAAGGGGGAACCTTAGAACACAGAATTCCCATATGGGAAGTACTTTAAAACAGAAAATCTTGAGGCCAGAAGGGATGTTAAAATAGATGAAGAGACATTAGAATATCGAATGTCAGGGATGAAGAGGGTACTCAGAACAAAATTTCCGAGCTGGAAGGGGTTTTAGTACAGAGGATGTCGGAGCTAGGACAGGCCTTAGAACAGAGAATGGCTCTTCTGGAAGGGCCCTTAAAACATGGACTGTCAGAGCTAAGAACAGAGGATGCTAGGAGGGGCCTTAGACTAGAGAATGTTGGATGTTGGAGCTGGAGAGACTTTGGAACAGGGAACGTCCAATCTGGCAGACACTGTAGAATCGAGAACATCAGAAGTGAGAGGGACCTTAGAAGAGAGCTGAGACGTTTCACAGCTAGAAGGAACCCTAGTCATAGGCTGCCAGAGAAGAACTCCAAGCTGGAGAATGTTGGAGCTGGCAAGGACCATAGAACAGGGCATGCAGAGCTTGAAGGGACCCAGGTAGGTACACAAGTGAACATCGGAGCCAGAAGATAGACTGCCACACCAGCTAGGGAGCTTAGAACATGGACGGTCAGAGCTGAAAGGGAACTTGGAACAGAGAACATCCAGACCAGAGGGAATGTGAGGGCTTGGGTTTAGACTTTAGGAAAGAGACAATCAGGCAGAAGAGGATTTAGAATAGAGAATGGCACAGCTGGGAGGGACCTTAGATTAAGGATGGATGAAAGAACTGACAAGAGTATCAAGGCCAGGATTTGGGGAGAGGGAGGAGTGCTTCAGGAAGTAAATGCCACATTTATTAATACTATTATGCTAAAGGACCTTACCTTCTATTGGGGGCCTGCAATGTGCTTCCTGATAAATACAGGATATATACAAAATAAATACACAGTAATTTGGTGTGTGCATAAGGGTAGGTACTAACAATGAGGGGAATCAGGAAAGGCATCTTAAGTACGTGGTCCCCAGGCTGAGCTTCTACATGGGCCAAGGGTTCAAGGAAGAAGTGAGGAAGGAAAGCATACCAGGCATGAGAGACATCCCGTGCAAAGGGCTGGAGGCAGGAAATGGAACTTCATGACCAATTAGGCCACTTCCTGCCTCTGACATGGGGAAGTTGAGGAGCTTAGAATGGAAAATGGCATATCATTGGAGGGACCTTGGAAGAGCATATGTGAGAGTTGGGAAGGAACTTTAGAAGGTCACAGCTGGGAGGGACCTTAGATCAGAGAATGTTTTAACTGGGAGGGGCTTTGAAACAGTGGTCACAGCTATGAGGGCCTTAGAACATGAGACAATTAATGCAGAAAGGGACTGGACCAAAGAAGTGCAGAGCTGAAAGGTCTGTTTGGACAAAGAATCTGTGATTGGGGGGTGGGAGACAGCAGCTTAGAGCAGAAAATGTCAGAACAGGGCTATGCCGTAGAAATGAGAAGGTCTAAGCTAGAAGAGGTCTTAGACAAGGGAAAATCAGAGCCAGGACGGACCTTCGAACAGAGAATGTCAGAGCTGAAAGTGGACTGTCTTAGAGAAACCTGAGAAAACATCCCATGGTCTTTTAGAGCCCAGGGTCCTTAGAACACAGGACGTCACAGTCAACACACATTTTATTAAGCACCTACTATGTTCCGGGCACTGCTAAGCTGGAGAAGGGTAAGGAACCTTAGAACACTGTCATAGTGGAGGACCTTACAAGAGACAATGGCAGAGCTGGAAAGGGCTGTATAATGGAAAATGGAAGTGCTCAGAAGAAATGTGGAATAGAGAATGGCTGAGCTGAGAAAAGCCTTAGAGAATGAACCATCGGAGATGAAAGGGACCATAGAAAAGAGATGCTGGACCAGGAAGAGACCTTACAACAGGAAATAGCAGAGCTGGGAAGAGCCTTAGAACAGAGAATGTCCAGGTTAGGGCTGCCTAATAAGAAAGAAGGTTAGAGCCTGGACGGGCGCTAGAAAAGGAAAATCAGAAGCAAGCAATGTAGAACACAGAATGTCACACCTGGGAGGGACCTTAGGCTATGAACTGTCACAGCTTGGAGGTATATAAAAACAGAATTTTGGAGCTAAGAGACCTCAGAACAGGGAATACCAGAGCTTAAAGGGACCTTGGATCAGAGGATGGCAAATGGAAGGGGTCTTAGAACAGATAATGTCACATCTTGGAGAGGGAACCTTAGGACATGGACTGGCAGAGCTGAGAAGTTCAGAATAGAGAAGAAATATCACACCTTAGAGAAAAGGGAACCTTACTATTTGTTGTTGTTCACTACCAACTCCTTGTGATCCTGTTTGGGGTTTTCTTGACAGAGATACTACAGTGGTTTGCCATTTCCTTCTCCAGCTCATTTTTACAGATGAGGAAACTGAAGCAAACAGGGTGAAGTGACTTGCCCAGGGTCACATAGATGTCTCGAGATCACATTTGGTCTCAGGTCTTCCTGACTCCAGACCCAGCACTCCATCCACTGCGCCATCTAGCTGCCCTTGAAGGGAACCTTAGTATAGAATATATCAAAGCTGGAAGGGGACTTAGAACAGAGAATGTCAGAGCTGGCCACAGATCACAGAAGGCCAGGGCTGGTGAGTCCCTTACAACTGGCATTAGAAAAGAGAGAATCAGAACTAGAAAGGATCATTGACCGTGGACTTCTGAGGGCTGAGAGGGGCCTCAGAAGAGAAAAGGACCTTATGAAAAAGCATGTCAGGGCTGAATGGAACCTCAGAGGAAATCAAAGCTCAGAGAGAGCTTAGAAGAGAGAATGGCCCAATTGGGAGTTACTTTAGAACAAGGAATGTCAGAGCTTGAACAGACCTTAGATCAGAGAATATCACATCCATGAGTGACTTTAGAACAGAGAATGTTGGAGCTGGGGGTTCCCTATAACAGATAATGTAGGAGGAAGGAGAAAGGCAGAGGTGGGAGGAACCTCAGAACAGAAAATGTCACAGATAAAGAGAGACTGACTTTAGAACGTGGATCGTCAGTGCTGGGAGGGACCTTAGAAGAAGGAATGTTGAGGCTGAAGGATGTCTCAGATTATGTTGATGCAGGGATGGGCCACAGAAAAGAGAAAAGCTGAGCTAAGAGGGCCCTTAGAACAGAGCATGTTAGACCTGGGAGGAACCTTTGAAGAGGGAATAACAGAGCTAGGAGGGAACAGAAAATAGTGAAGGTTAAAACCAGGACATGCCTTTGAACAGTGTCAGATCTGGGCAGTACCTTAAAATGTGCAATGTCAGCTCTCAAAACTCTCTTCAGAACAGGGAAATCCAGGGGCAGCTAGGTGGCGCAGTAGATACAGCACTGGCCCTGGAGTCAGGAGGACCTGAGTTCAAATCCAGCCTCAGACCAAACACTTCACACTTACTAGCTGTGTGACCCTGGGCAAGTCACTTAACCCCAACTGCCTCACTTAAAAAAAAAACAACAAGGAAATCTGTATCTAATAGAAACCATAGAATGTCACAGCTGGAAGACATCTTCAAACATGGACTGTCAATTTGGATGGTAATTAAAACAGTGAAGACAGGGGTTGGGGATGCCCTAAACCAGAGAATGAGGCAGCTAGGTGCCTCAATGGATAGAGCGCTGGGCCTGGAGTCAGGAAGACAAAGCCGGCTTCAGTCACTTACTAGCCATGTGACCTTGGGCAAGTCATTTAACCTGTTTGCCTTAATCCACTGGAGAAAAGGAAATGATAAACCACTCTAGTATCTTTCCCAAGAAAACACCATGGACAGTACTGGGAAGTGATGGTCCCCGAGGTCACAAAGAGTCAGCCACAACCAAACAACAACAATGCACAGAATAAGGCTAGGAGAAAAGTAGAGCTAAGTAGGACCTTAGAATAGAGAATGTCAAATTCAGAAGGGACCTTCCATGTAGACCTGAGAATATCACAAAGCTTGGAACATGGACTCTAAAAGATGGGTGATATCAGGCCTAGAAGGGGTCTTAGAACACCAAGTGTCCCATCTGGGAGGGACTTCTCTTTACAAATCACTTTCCTTATAGCCCCATGTAATGACGAGGAAATTGAGGCCCATCAAAGTGATGCGACTCACCCATAAACTTGTGTCAGACGCAAGCTCTGGCTTCCCAGCTCAGTCCTTCTTTGCTCACTCAAGTATGTCTTGTTCTTTTGTTCTCAGGCCCCCATCACCTCTCCTTCCTATGAGGCTGGCAGAGTTCAAAATCTGGAGATGCCCAGTGTTCAAAAGGACACCACGGTGGAGTATGATTGGATTCAAACCCTCGCAATCTGGAAATATCCCATCCCATGCCTGATGTGCCGATGTTGCAGGGCTTTCCAAGTCCTTCTTTCATGTTGTGACTGGCCACTGGTCCAGGCCAATGTGCCCTCATCTCTTTCCCCTTTATCCCCCATCAGTGAGGGCCTTAATGCCACACTGGGCTTCTTTCCATCTGCTATGGGAAGCCCAGGAAGCCCCTGCACTGTGATGTGGGAGGGGCATTTGAGTATGTCTGCTGCATGCGCCTGTGTGTGTGTGTGTGTGTGTGTGTGTGTGTGTGTGTGTGTGTGTGTGTGTAGAAGTACATGTATGGGTGCAGGCTGTGTACAGAAACTGGCTGATCACCAGAAGAACCGAGATTCACAACCAAGGCTGGAGCATGGCTTGGAGCCTCTGTGTAGACACAAGCTTCCCTGTCCCCCCACCCCCACCCCAAATTGGCTGAGCTCTTGAGTGCAACCCTCAGACCAGGCAGGACCTTCCAATTTCTGAGAGATCTTCACATGCTAAAAAGGCTAGGGAACTGAAGCACTGTGGGAAACCTCCCCCAGCCCATTTTCCTTCCTCAGCCTCAAGCCCCCAAGTCTAACCCCAGCTCAAATCCTTCCCCCCAAAAGAGACAGTGCTCTCACCAACCTGCAGCTGCTCAGCAGGGGAGGATTTCAGCCTTATCCCACCACAGGCCCAAGAAATAGGATAACACCATATCCCAGCTACAAAGGATCACAGATGTCATCCTGTCCACACACACACTATCCCTACCTCTCATCAAAGCTGAGGAAACTGAAGCCTTGAAAAGAGAATAGATTTGCCTACCCAAGTCACATATCAGATGCAGGATTTGAACCCAGGACCTTGGACTCCCAGTCTAGTTGATACAGGAGCTAAAAGATAAGTTCAGAGCAGATTCAGGGCAACAAGTGTCAGATGCTCAACCTTCCCCCCAAAAAACTGTTTCCCTCCCCAACATGTTTCCCTCTTCCCCAACACATTTTCCTTCCCCTCACAACACGTTTCCCCACTTGCACACATGCGCACACGCCTGCACACACACACATGTATGCACCCTGTGTTCTTAGACTTTACAAACAGGTTTAATGAGGACCAAGAAATGATTGCTCTGAACTGTGGGCTTTCAGGACAATTTTTCAATCCTAACCTTGTTCTTTTCCTAAGGAACAAGTTTCAGACCTACCATTAGCCCTAGAGCTCCCACCATGTAAACACTTTTGTTTACTCCCCAGGGGTTAGCATATAAACATTGATAAACTGAGCAGTAACTTGCCAGTCCTTTCTTTGACCTTTTCAAAGCTTCCCCGGGAGCTCTGCCATTAGGACGGCTCGGTAGTTTCCATTCATTGCCTTCTTTCCTTATAATCAGCCTCTCCCTAGCCCTTGGTGCAGTGTGTGGACGCTAAAGCTGTTTACCCTATCCTAATACCTTGGAGTACTGATGCATTCAGCTTCCCTGGCAAGCCTCTTGTCCCCAGCTGCCGAGAGCTGAGCAAAGAGAAGGCCAAGGCCTCCCAGCCAGCCTTCACAGCATGCATGGCTGTGGGATGGAGCTTCTGGAGCTGGGCTTTCATCAAAGCTTCCAGCTGCTGGGCCAAGCTCCAGGGAAGCTGAAGCCCCATGGAATGGATGGCCCCAGTGGTTTGGGGCACACCCAGAGCCCTCTGGCCAAGGCAGCTTCAGGAGCAAAGCTCAACCGTTATGGTGATGGTTCCCTCTGACTACTGGCCAAAGTTAAATTTCTTGGTCCTTCAAAAAGCCTGAAGCCAAATGACAGCCTCAGAAGACTGTGGACTCACAGCTTCTGTATGTCACCTCCAGGAAGGGAGAGAAAAGCCCACTCTCCCCTACCTGGGCAGATTTTCCCCTTCCCTCTCTTATAGACTGGAAGCACAGGAGAGGAGGTAGATGAAGATCCACTAGTCCCACCTCCCTCACCTTAAAGGCATGCAAACAGAGGCCCTGAATGGGAGAAGGTCCTTCGGGGAGGCAGCTGAATCGAGATTTGAACCCAGCTCTTCCAATTCCCAATCCAGTCCCCTCTCCACCCTACCATGCTGCCTTTTCTGCCAGTGGTTCTGCTAAAGCATCTACTACCCCCAATCCCAGGTTAGGTGATGTCTCCCATGCCCTGGCGCATATTAGTACTCCCCTCCCAAAAGTCAAGTCACAAAGGCCGTGCCGAGGAATCCTAGGAGAGCAAGCCTCTACTGGAGGGCTCCCAGAGCCCAATAAGGCATTCTTGGCACCATGGTTCCACTGGCATCCAATCCGCTCGTAACCTTGGCTTTCCAGAGGTCGCCATAGGGCTGACCGCTGTACCAAGCTAGAGGCCCTGCTGAGAAAGAGATAGTACGTTTGCTTAGAATCCTAAACTGTACAGACTTTACTTTAGAGCTGGAAGGAAGCTTAGCGATCGTTTGACCTGGGGTCCATGAACTTGCTTTTTTTGAATATTTTGCCGACTGCATTTCAGTATAATTGGTTTCCTTTGTAATCCTACATATTTTATTTTACGCATCTAAGATGATGATTTTGAGAAGGGCTCCACAGGCTTCGCCAGATTGTCCGAGGGGCCCATGACACGACAAAGGTGGAGAATGCCTAGCCTAGTTGGAGCCCACTGGAACAGGCCTGTCTTTCTTATGGACTTCATGCCACTCGGTGCTCCAGCCATTAGCCCTCATCTCTCACATCTGTGCTGAAAGGTGCTAGTCTATCTTCTGTCCTCGCCTCAGTCAGTCCAATACAGGGCTAGAATGAGAAGTTGGACCACCCCAGTATTACTAAATATCCTGTGATCACATGAGCCCTTAATGCCTTCCTCCTTTATGGGGCAACAAGATGGGGATGACTTTTTTTTTTTTAGCTAGAGAAATGAAGGCTCAGGGAAGTTAAGAGCTGTCCAGTTAGGCAAGGCTGGCTGTCGGGAACATTGTGGGAACATTGTGGGAACAGATACATTAAGGGACTCCAGGCCTTCTTTCGACAAAAGGGCCCCCAACATTCTCTACTGGTGACAATCACCCCCTCTGTGCATTCCTGAACCTTGACTTCCGAGGGCAGCTAAAAGCGGAAAGCGTCAGAGGCTTTGGAATCAAAGACCCCAAGCCCATGGCTCAGCTCTGCCACTTTCTGGCTCTGTGACTGGACACTGAGTTTCACGTCCCTCATTTGTAGATGAGCTCAGAGGTCACTTTCAGTGCTAGATCTAGGACCCAGGATCTCATGTGGGGTCACATCAATGTTGTTTGGTCACGAACCCTCTGCCAGTCAGAAAGCATCCCAAACAAGATGATTGAAATTCTCTATGAGACAGTTTTCTTTGAAAATTCATGAGCTCCATAAAACCAGTGGGAAAGAGAAAATAGCATTCAGAGTATGAAGGGTCATTAGAGAACATCTGGTCCAAGTGTGTCCGTTAACAAATGAGGGAAAAGGCCCAGAGAATGTGGGATGTCATTTGCCTGACAACCCCCAGCTAGGAAGTGGCAGAGCTGGGATTTGAACCTGGGTCTTCTGCCCCCAAATCTAGAGCTCTTTCCACCGTGTCTCAGTTGGCTTTGGAGGTGCAGTCCATTTGCATTTGTTTCAACGCAGCCCGAAATGTACAGTATCAAATAGTAGCTTTTTGCATGCAAATGAAGTGCAACATACCAAGGAATAGGCGCTTCCAAAAAGCACATAGCCAATAACCATTCACTTCCCAGAAAGGGCTGAGGCTGACTCCAGGAGCATACTACAAGTAAGTTCATGTGCTCTATGGGAGGCAGCCAGAAAGCACCTTCCCCAAGTTATGGGACCATCCTCGCAGGCATTAAAAAGAGATGATGACTGTAATGACCAAGCAATGGGCTTTCTGTAGCAGATATGGGGCAAGAGGAGATGGTATAGTGGAAATGCCTTCGGGAAATAACCCCTGTCCCAAACCTCCCACTGGCTAACCAAGCTAAAGGTCTGGGGGCCCGGACAGGAGGCTCCTGCTCTTTCTCTGGAATGTGTTCAGGGGACTAGAGAGAACTGCCCCTCTGAGCAAGAAAATCAAGTCACCGTTCACTCAGCAATGAAGGTCAGGTTGCCAATTTGCTACTGATACTCCCCTCCCCCAATTTCTTGGTTTCATCTGTGCCAATGTGACTGACTGTATGTGGTGCTCTGACTTGTGCTACTGAGTATTGATTACAAAAGGCTGGCAAACTGTACTTTCCCATGTTAATCTATTAAAAGTATGTGCATGGGGTTGTTATTTCTTCTAGCTGATACTGTGGTCTCATTAAAAAGTTTTCGTCCACTTTCTGTCAGTTTCCACACAGCCCATTAGATGGAATGGAATACAGTGTGGGGTTCATGTACCCCCAGGTATCTGTCACACTGATTCCACTTACAGAATCCTATTCTGTCAGAGCTAGAAGGGACCTTCGAGATAACCAAGTTGGTCACCAAGACCAACTCCCTTGTTTTACAGCGAAGGAAACTGAGACCTAGAGAGTAGAAGCAGAGAGAGGCTGCTAGGCGGCACGGTGGATGTTGGACTTGGGAGTCAGGAGGCCCAGGTTTGAAAATCTGCCCTCAAATATTTATCGCTGTGTGACCTTGGACAAGTCTCTTAACCTCAATCTGCCTCAGTTGACTCATCTGTAAAAGAGGGATAGTAATAACACCTATCTCCCAGGGTTGCTGTGAGAATCAAATAACAACACTGGACGGTATTTTGCAAACCTTAAAGCGCCATAAAAATGCTAATTATTGATCATTATTATTGTCTACCTTCATACAACTGGCAAGTCTCCCTACTTGCCTCTAAAACCCCAAAGTTCCCCTAGCTTCTCTTCCCACTTTCAGAATGAACAAAGCTTAGAATTGATTTCAATTCGGGCCTTTATGTGAATTGAAGTTATTTAAAAGTCTAAGACAGGCCAATTTCAATGGAAATGTTCATTTCTACCCATCTGGCCAGATAGGGTATTGTGCATTCAGAATCTATAGACTGGCACACACACGAGGGAGGGGCTGCCCACAAAGCCTGGGTTCAAATCCCAGCCTCTGGTACATACTGACTAGGTGACATTTGGCCTCTTGGTGGACTTGCCTTGGTAGGGGGAGCTTCCACATTGGGGACTTCCTATACCAGTGCAATCACAGACCTGGCCCTGCTCCCTTTGGACCCACATGGATGAGAAAACATTGTGTGTTCCTATTCTTCCATTTTACAAACGCCAAAATGACCTTTAAAATCCACATGGATTGATCCCTCCCCGCCCCTTCCCAATTCAATGAGCATTTCTCTTGTTTGCCAGGTACCAGGTTTAAAACCTAATTTGAACCCGCAGTACCACTAAAAAAGTAAGTGACTTGTTTTTTCTCCTTGCCTTTTCCTCTCAAAGCAGACAGCCCTGAGGAATCAACCAATTATTTTTTAAGAACGTGGATTGGAGGTGAAGAAAGACCCTTCACCTTCAAGAAACTTTAACAACTTAACCAGTTTGGCCCATTGGCAGAGACTCACACACCCAGCTGCAGAAAAAATGTGGCAAAGTCTAAAAGAAATCCCACTGGAGCAAATGGGAATTGGAATGAAAGTATAGAAAAATCTAAGGATTTGCCCAAGAACAGCAAACGCTGTTGGAAATGATGGCAATTGAGAGATGAGAGAGATCAGTGCACTGGTCAAAAATGAAGGTCCTCTCTGGCAGGGGCAGGCTGGGGGTGAAGGGGTGGGGATGGATTAAAGAATCATTAAGGGTCATTAAGGAGAACTAGAGGCTAGGCCGAGTTGCTAAAACTCCCATTTAATCCATTAGCTTGTGATTTCCCCCAAACTCAAAACTTTTCTCTCACCGTGCTTTCAATCTATAGACACTCAAGTTTTAATGATGAAAACCACAGATTCAGCCTCTAGGATTCTCCTATTAGTTAAGTGGCCCAGAGAGGTAACTTCAGATCTCTGCTTCTGGGCCTGGTTATTTTCAAAAGAGAATCACCTGGAGTATGTGCCATTGCTAATCAACCCCATTTTCTCAAGTACTGTCCTTTCTCATGGACTCTTGGAGATTTCTACTTTTTCCCTGCCTAAAGGATCTGGGGAAAGTTAACTGTCACTAAGATAATTGGACCTAGCATAAACCTTGCATTTTTAGAAGGTTCACAAGAGATGCTGAGAACAGCTAACTATAGCACTGAAATAACACCTTTAGAGTTGCAAAATGAGTTACAAATATTATCTCATTTGAGTCTCAAGCCTGGGAGAGGTAGGTGCTGGTATTATGCCCCATTTTAGAGATGAGGAAACTAAGGCAGACAAAGGGTAAATGACTTCCCCAGTTCACACAGCTAGTAACTGTCTGGGGCTGGATATGGACTCAGGTCTTCTAGTCCCCAGGTCTAGCACTCTGCGCGATGGTGCCACCTCGCTGCAGCCGACAGCTCTCCCCATTAGGCAGACTGAAGACAGATCCTGGGTATTCTTTCTGGTGCCAGCTAACACAGCTCTCACTATACTAAACTTTCTGCATTACTAATAATCACTGCCATCAGCTGTGCCATCTCTAGTCAGTGGCAGCATGGTAAAAGCTGGAGAGAAATGAGGAGGGCAATACCTCTCTTAAACCCAGCATCATCCAATCAAATGCTTATCTGCCCCTGTGTACATCCAACCTGTGCTCAAGAGTTTCCAAGGCATATTAACAGGTAGAGCATGTTATCCCCAAGTTACTCTTTTCAGAACATCTTGTTTACCATTTGGTCAAGTATTGGCATGGCCAGCGCTGAGGACAGGCGGACTCCTGAGGTCCCCCCCCACGATCTTCCAAACTGGGGGACCAAGCGCTTCTCCTTGAAAGTAAAGCAGCCAAAATGACAGCTGCTGGAGTGTTTAGTGATATTTTTAGTGATGCTGACACTGGTTTTTAAATATTTAAAAAAATGGATTCTTGTGAAAATTTTTCTGCATAAAGCATTATGTTCATTGTTTTATTGTCAAGCCCTCACCATTTATTGGTTATTGGATGCTACGTGCATAAGGTTTTAATAGTATCATTACTAAGTTCGTAAGTTTCAGTACTGTATGTACAATATTTTGGTGTCATTTTCTATTGTGTTTGGATTTGTTTCTTCTGTAGGAAATGTACAGAGTTTATATGCTCTTGGGCAGTTCACTGCATTAAAAACAATCTGGTTTTGACTAAATTGCTCAAAGTTTTTTGAGTTCAAAGGCTCATGGATCTCACGCTAGATGGGACCTCAGGGGCCACGTAAGGGAGCCCTACATAAAATGACAGGGTGCACTAGATGGTCCCTGGGTGGCAGGAGGTTCTTTGGGTAAGCCCTTCAACCATACCCAAAGTTACTCAGGCCCAAGTCCTCTGACTTCAGAGCTAATGCCCTCTTCCTCTGCCAGAATTATGCAAACCTGAACAATTCTCCCAAGCCTGAAGAGTTCAACAGATCATGACATTTGGTGAAAAGAACTCCAACTGCAGAAAAGAGGCAGGGAGAACTATATCTCCGGGGTCCTTCTCTGCACCTCCACCCTTGCCTCCCTTGGGCCTTCCACGTGATAACCAAGTTAGGACTACTCCAGTCACAGAACGATCCTTGGGAACCATCTAGTCCCATTACCTTATTTCACAGGAGGAGATAAGTCTGGGAAGATGAGCTTCAATTTAGTTCAAACATTAAATGCCTGCTCTGTGCCCAGGCATTAGGGCAGTGGTCTCCAAATGGAGAATGAGAACATGGCTCGAATCCCACACTCTCCTAGTTTGTCTACAACACAACCACATCAGCCCCATAACCAATTATAGCTCAAGCCCCCTCCATTCCTTGGTCCTGCCCCTCCCCACCCCAACATCCCCATCCTTTATCTTCCAGATCACCTTGTAGCTACTGCAGGCACCCCAAAGGGCAAGCTGGGGATGAGGGGCCCCAACCCCCAGGCCAGTAATAGCCAGTAGCCCTCCACCTGTAGGCCTGCATGGCTTCCAATATGCATCACAAATCTCATTACATTATCATTCTCCCCAAACCTGCTCCTCTTGCCCATCTGTCTCTTTTTCAGAGACCACCATCATCCCAGTCTCCCACAATCCCAATACCTCTTCATGCTTGACCCTTCATCAGCTGGAACTGTTCTCACCAAAGTTACCCAATCCAGTGGCCTCTTTTTATTCTTCATCTTTTTGACCTCTAGCGTTGATGACTTTCTCTTTCTACATACTCACTCTCTCCTCTTTCAGTTGATGAAGACAATGGAAATGTATTACCTATCAAAACTCAGTTGCATGCTTAAAAAACTTTGAATTTTCTAATCTGATAAGAAATCTTCCGAATGAAGAATTTCACTGAGTTTTGTATTATTAATACAAAACACTTATAAATTATGTAATTATATAAATAAAACACATAAATATAAAACTATAATCCCTTTTGATTAGTTTATAATTGATAAAGATAAAGAAAGATAGAAATTCACTAGCTGAACTTCAAGAGAAACTTTTGCATAATTGGTGGATGGGACTGAAAAAATGAGTATTATAATTTAGTAAGCACAGCCCAAGACACACTTCTTTGAAGGGGATCCGTTTATCTCTCTGAGTTCCCTTGTTCAGCTATGACAACCACTCAAATCAAAGTAAGCTTAGGCCCAGACCTTCAAATCCCTGTATCACAGTGGTAAGTCAAGATTTTCAAAAATAATGAAGCATATTCAGTCCCACTGCTCTCACCAAAAATATCATCATTAATATTTTTAGTGAGAAAAAAGGTTTTTCTGCACCATTCTTAAAGATTTGCAAAATATCACCTCATCTTTATCTCATCTTTTTCAAATTGCTACTTTCTGTGTAAGATTTATAATGTACATAATTACTAGTACAGTAGCACAGACATATAATTTATAAATGAGTAAATATTCATATATGGAGGTGGGTGCTCAAAACTCTTTTACCGATAGGTGTGTGTGATCAAAAGAGTTTGGCAACTACTGCACTACATTCGTAAAGACCTAACTGGGGTCAGAGGAGAATGGTGATGGGTCTAATACCAAAATGGCAGGTACTCTTTTCCTTGAAATGCATTTTCCTATGTGAGTGAATAGGGACGAAGCTAACACTCGGAGAATTCACTTTTACCAATACAACAAGGCCACAACAAAGAAAAGCTAAGCATCAGTTTAAAGCAGCACTGGCCTTGCTATGTAACCCTGCTGGTTCCCAAGGTCCTGAAGGTGTCAAAGTACATAAGTGACTGCCAGTTATTATAACTGACAAATTTACCCAGGACTTAAACACATATTCTTATTGTTCCCCAAGGTACACCCTGTGAGGTAGCCAGAGGTGGTAGACCAATTTACAGAGGAGCAAACTAAAGCACAAAGATTAACAGGTAATACAGCACAGGAGAACAGGGCTTCACCCCAGGTTTTCAATTCCAAATCCCGTGTTCTTTCCCCACACCCCAGCTGCCTCCCTAAGAACACAAAAGCCAGATGGGCCATAGAAAAACTGCAGCGTAGACTCTACCATCAGAGGCATCACATAGCAAGGGACTGCTAGCTTTCTGCTAAAGAATCAGTGTGGCACAACCAGAGAAGCAATGAATTTGGTCCAAATACAGGCTCTGTGGCTTTCTACCCATGTGACCGGTGACAAGTTCCTTCCCCTCTCTGGGCCATCTGTAAAATAAAAGGGACAAACTAGAAGAAGATGAGCGCTCACGCTGTGCATCAGCTCTCAAGCCCCTCCCTGCTCCCACTCTGCCCAGCAGTTCCTCTCCTCCCGGTCAGCCATTGCTGACATTTCTCTCAGCGGCTCAGTTCTATTGGAGATTAAGTCTTCCACTTCAGAAAAGCAGCAGGTCACACCTCAGCCTGTGTTCCCACAAATCCCTAATGAGTCAAGCAACCAGCCAACCACCACTGTTAGAATTGTGGGGGGTTTTTTTTAATATCAATGCAAAATACAGTAAAGGTTTTTACAAGTAGTTGACCAAGAAGCTTTTGTTTCAAAAATGATTCCTCTCCATTGTGGAAGCCAAAATAGCAACACCTGCAAATTATTGGGATTATACAAAACATGACCTTCTTTTGTCCCATTTCAGCACATCTACAAGTGACAAAACTTGCCAAATGACTTTTCCAAATCACAGTCTTCAAGTAAAAGAACATCAATATGAAATCACATCATTTTAATTTACTTATTGGCCAGAAGACCAAGCAAGAAATCATTCTGCCTGCCACCACTCCCCCTGCCCCCGACCCGCCCCACTCACACCCATCCATCATTTCCTTTCTCTGGATTGATGCTATTTAACTGTACTTAGCCTTCCTGTGCTGCCATTCTGACTTCCCAGGGGTGTTCAGTGGGGGTCACTGGCACAGCCCAGTTGCCAAAATGGTTTCCTTTTCCTTCACTGCCCAGCCAGCCACGCACTGCTTGGGAAGTGGGCCACAAAAAAAATAATGGACCAGCTGAAAAGTCAAGCACACATTCGGGGCCGACATCTTGGGTCTGCCAGCTGAGCATGGACAGGAAAGAAAATGAGGGCTTCCAGAGGCACTCAGTTTTGTTTATAAGTCACCAAGAGAAAGAGCCAGAACTGGGAAAGTGGAGAAGAGAGGAAGACGGAAAGTGGGCTTAGACAGAGACACACACAGACACACAGACACACACACACAGACACACACACACACACACACACACACACACACACACACACACACACCCCTCTCTCTGTTTCTCAGGGGAGCAGAAAGCAAACAGAACACAATGCAACTCCCAGTGGGCCTTAGAGAACTGACTCTTTTTGGTTTTATTTGTAACTACAGGAAACCTCAGAGCAGGGCAGTCCAGAAACTAGAGAATAAATTAATTCACTGAAGAGTCCAGTAATTTGCATAAGCACATTATTAAAATTCCCATCAATTCTAAGAGCTGAGTGTGCCTCATTATTGCACTTGGTTCCAACAGTCAAGAAATAACCAAATTAAATGAAGAGACCGCCAATATTTCCCATTTGGCCCACAAAAAAAAAAATTTAAACAGCCCCTCCACCTCACTGTCTCATCCCATTCCCCAACCGAAATAGGTCAACAAGAGGAAACTCAATACACTCTTATAATATTGTACAGGGGAACCCAGTGTTCCTCGAACTTAATCTGTTCCAAAATACTTCTGTCCAAAATGTGTTGGTGCAACAGGATGGACCTCTGTGGTTAAAATTGTGATGTCTGGGAACTCCTGGATGATCGACGTGGCACCTTGAGAAAAGGAACAAGGACAAAGGAAAACCAGTATTATACCGGGACTGAGCGGGTTGGTTGGTTTGAGAGGGAGGGCAGAGTAGTGGGCTAGCAGAGGATGGAGAACAGCACTGTTTCAGAAAGTGTGAGCCCTGACACTCACTCACTGGCTACATCAGTCTAGAAAAGCCATTTTGCCCCCTGAGCTTGAGTATCCTCATCTGTAAAATGGGGTTAATATTTGCCTCAATGATAGTATTTCCATGCTTGGAATCAAATGAAACCCAAAGTCATCAGAAGTATTTCATGCTCACTACTTCCTCCTAAAAGGGAACTGACTTTCCAGGCTCATCATGCCTCCTTTGAGAGGGAAGCTCTCTTCCACCCTATGCCCAGATGCCTGCCCAGCCAGCAACAATCCCTCCCCTCCACCTGACCACTACCACCAATTGTCCTTATCTTTCCTTTTCTGTGGGACTTCAAAGTGATGCCTCCCAGTCCTCAAATTAACTACTGCTAAGCCCTGCTGCTCACATTTACAGAGCACTCTGTACTTTCTCCTTGACTAAAGTATCCCATCCCCCCCGCCACCAACCCCTCACACCATGTGTCATCATGCCCTAGCAATGAATTTAGGCAAGTTCTGGTAGGTCCTACCAAGCTAGAGAAGCTTCCAGGTCAGGTCCAGCAATGAAAACTCGCAGCCTAGGCAAATGGTCAGAGGTTCATCTACAGGCTAGCCAAAGACTAATGTGGTTCTCTTGTTCAGTCTCACAAAGAGCACCCACAGAGGCAGAGGGGCAACAGAGGTAATGGCCAAGCTGACGGAAGCACACACATCCTGACAGTTATAAGATCAGTTTGCACAGAACTTTTCCCCCAACCCTCTGAGGCAGGCACTAGAAAGTAGGATGCTCCCCAATGGACACTCAGAGAGACTACCAAGCAGCAGACCCAGGATGGAACCCTCCAACTTCTGACTCCACAACACTCAGCTGAATCACAGGTGTCTACATTTCCAAGTGCTATTTCTTCCGATGGCTGGGCAGCCAGCACATAGTTATTTTAAACACACCGCCTGGGGATACTTAACAAGAAAGCAAATAAAGCCAGGGCTTTCCATAAGAGAAGCTAAGCAGATGCACATTTCCCCATTCTGTACCTCATCTGGAGTCCCATCCATTACCCAAGTCAGGACTTACCATGAGGAGTAGAAAAGAGACTGAGGACAATGATGACACTGGGTTGAACACCATGCTCTATAAGGACTTTTACAGCCTCAATGACAGTATTTCCAGTACCTGAAATAAAATGAAACCCGAGGCCATTAAAATCCTTTTAGGGTCACCTAATTCCTCTTCAGGAGTCTCTGCAGCTCTCTGGTGCAGACCATAGGCAAAACTACACTGGAAGGGACCTATTATCCAGTGAGGGGATCTCACTATGTGACTTCAGAATCTCACGCCCAAAGCCAACCTTCAGAAGCCCACTGGCCCGTGCTGTGAGCAATGTGAGTCTCAGAATCAGGGTGAAGACCAGAAAAACGAGGGATCACAAAGACGACCCACAAAGATAAATCTTTGAGAAACTCTCCACTGCCTTCACTGGACTAGAGAACAGACACAGTGCAATGCTCCTCACATTCTGTTTCTTTTGCCTCATCACATCCCTTGCTTCGATGCGTACATTTAAAGACAGAAAATCCCTTTGGAGCTAATGAAGTTTGACTACTGTATATTCTGATATCTGGCAATCAATTCACACATGAACTGCCCATGTTAACTCAGAAGCCCCAAGAGCAGCAAGAACCAGAACTGCTTTTGCCTGGAAGGCTGCCAGGCTGCGAGTCAAGCACCAAAATGAGCCCTCCCTCACCAAAGGTTCCAGAGCACAATGAGCACACACTCACTTAGGATTGGATACATCAGGAGGACTTTCCTCCGGTAAATGTCTGGGGGGAATTTGGCATAATAGACTTTGGCTCTTTGGGTCTCCTCATCACTCTGGATCAGAATCTTTCCAATTCGGATTGAGCGGCAGCAGTCCCGCAAACCCTGCTCCATGGCCTCTCCTGAGGGCAGAGATGAAGAAGAACAAGATGAGATGAATAAAGCACCCACCCCAGGCTGTTGTTACAAATACAGAAGGGACACCATCAAGAAGATGGCAATGCTTCCTCGGACATTGTCTGAGGAGTCTCCCAGTGCCTTGCCCAGAGCAAGAGCTCCAATAAGCTAAGATCAGCATTCTAGAATGTTCTAGAATGGAACCATTTGGTTATAGGTGTCACCTATTAAAGCTAGCTGTGTTGCAGCCTGCTAGAAAAGAAAGTGTTACTAAAGAAAAAGAAAGAAGTGAGGTGCTAGTGTCCAAAAGGCCTGAGTTCACTGCCTAGCTCTGACACTGTATGTGGGGATCTGGCCAGGACACTTAGTGATGCCTCAGCTGCTATATGTCTAAGATGAAGGCAATAAACCTTACCCTCACTGGGGGGCCATGAAGTTTGAAAGTGCTATAAAAAGAGGATTGATTTCTTAGTTTTCATGTCTACTGTCACTGCGCTTCTGGGGTTAGCAAGGCAGAAAAAGCCCTGTGTTCTCTTGGCTCACGATCTTCTGTGATATTCCTAACATTTTTTCTTCCCATTATTTTAAATAAGATGCCTAAATCACCAAAACCTGGCACTTCATCTATGTGACAATGTCCTTTTCATTACGGTTAAGAATGAAAGATTCCTGGGAAGGGAATGGGTGTTAGAAACCAAAGATGATTGGCTCTTAGAACACAATGTTATAAAGACTGTCACTCGGTGCAGCAATGAATTAATTTAGTGTCGAAGAGGCTTTTCCAGCACACAGTGAATAAGGAGCAGCTGGCTGCTGGGTCGGGTTTTTGGGTGTTGGCTTTTGTTTGTTTGGGTTTGGTTTCTGGTTGGGTTTCTTTTTTTTGGGGGGGGGGGAAGAATAGCTTACTACCAACAACTATCACCTTAGCCTGGAAGCCAAAAGTCATTTTGGAATTTAAATTTTTTAAAGGGAAAAGGCTGCAAACAAAAATCAAAGAGAAAAGAAACAAACTAAAGGCTGCTAACCTACTAAAACCTAGCCCTTGCTCAGGACAAGGCTCTTCGTGGCAGGCACAGAATGTTTGTTGAATGAATAATGCCTGACAAGTCTTCCTCTCATAGCTTCACCAACTCAAAGGAGGTTGAACAAGATTGCCCAGGGATTAGTCAATATCTAAATGCCACCTTCAGCTACCAAGGCTACGCCTTATCTAGAACCAGGGGGAGGGCCGACTGGTCAGTTTTCAGGGCGAGCACTGACACCTCAGAAATCAGCAATCACTACAAATCAGGGCTTGGTTTATTGTTTTGTTGATTGCCCAGACTGCAGAAAATGGTAACAATGCTAATTTAACTTAAAAGTGAGTGTGTACACATTCCCACCCCCTACCCCCCAACCTGGTTGTTAAACATTTACAATACTGCTCTATAACCTGGCTTGAGCTCAGCAGGAGGGCAGTAGAAGGCAAAGGGAATGAAGGCATCACCAGACTGGAGGCCAACAACACCGACAATAACATCTGGCATTTATATAGCACTTTACAATGTGTAAAGTGCTTTGCATCCATTATGTCATCTGAGCCTCTTAAGATTCTGGCTTTGGGGGCAGCTAGGTGATGCAGGGGATAGAGCTCCAGCCTTGGAATCAGGAGGACCTGAGTTCAAATCTGGCCTCAGACACTTACTAGCTCTGTGACTCTGGGCAAGTCGCTTAACCCCATTGCCTAACCAAAAAAAAAAAAGAAGAAGAAGAAGAAGAAGGAAGATTCCTGTTTTGAACACCTATTTTTGTGAAAACTGCTCAAATGTCCCCTAGCCCATCCATGTTAATAAAAGCTATGAGGGAAATTCATAAAATTCCATCAGCTCCCAGGGTTTCTCCTTGGTCCTGCTGGGGAAGAAGCGGGGGAGAAGGGCCATGATCACAGTTCTATGTACTAATTACAAGTACAGAACTTCACTGGAGGCTGTGACCAAAGGCTGATCCTGGCGAGGGAGCACTTACGTACAAATATAACATCGACAAGCCAGTTATTGCCAAGAAAGTGGTTTTGCCTACATGGTCACACAATCATTTCGATGCTGAAAGAGACCCAACAAGTCGTCCAGTACAGCTGTCGCCTGACAATAAAACAAAGGAGCCCCACTTCCTCCAGGCTGGTACTAAGTCTGCACCATCTCCCTCCATCACTGTCTCCATGCCACCGCAGCATCCTCCCAGCCTCCCCTGCTCCTCTTTCTACGCAACCTTGCACATGCAGACAGGCCCCTGGGGAAGAGACTGCCGCTAAAATTAGCCAAGCTCGGCAACATGCCGGCCAGTACTGCAGAGGCACCAGCAGAGGAGGAGAGCTAGGGCAGGCAATGGAGAGAAAGAAACTGGAGCTCAGGTAAGCTGCAATTACAGAAAACGAACAGGACCCCGGGGGGGTGGTACAGAGGATGAGGGGTGGAGGGGGGAACCAAAGTACAGACAGACTTACCACTTCTCATTATGCTGACCCCACAATTCCCCTTCTCAAATTTCACTCCTTCATACTTATATCCTGTCGCAAAAGAAAGGGAGGAAAAAGAGAATGTTATCTTTTGTTATTGAAGCAGATACTTCTTTGAGAAGGGCCCTCTGGTTTAGGGGCAGAAGGGTGAACAGCCGCCTTCTCCAAACATAATTTCTCAGCATCTGAGCACAGTCCTGTGCCCAAAGAAGATGTTCAATCAACGTCTGTTTTAGGCAGTAAGAATGATAGCTAAGAGGAGGACAGACAGGGCCACAATGAAACCTCGTCTTCCATCCTAGGATTCCCAGAGGCTTCATGGCAAGACCTGGCTGGCCTGGGATCTGGATTCTACAAGAGCAGTGCCCGACCTGGAACCATCCAGTTGATTAAAATATACCATCTAGTATATTAAAAAGCCTGTTTATTGTGACACTTTTACGTGAAGCTTTTTAGAGTAACATCTCAACTCTCCACGATAAATCCCTGGGGAATTCATCAAACAGAGATAGGATTTCTTCTCATAGCGACATGGCTAGACTTGGAATCTGGAAGACCTGGGTTCAAATCCCACCTCTAGCTGTGTGAGCAAGTCACAACTTCTATAAGCCACAGTTTTCTCATCTATAAACAGGAATAATGATAATATTCACAGTACTGACCTCACAGGCCTGCTGTAAGGCTCAAATAATGATATAAAGATCATTAAGGATCAAAGAATAGCTATAAGGAGCTTTGCAAATTTTAAAGTGCCACAGAAATGTCCATTGTCAATATTATAATATGAGGAAAATGCCTGAATTAACAGAAAACCACTGAGCCTCCCTACTGCACCCTGAAAAAGGCTCTAGGACCACTTCCCTGTGCACTGCCTAGGATCTCAGAAGTCCCCTTTTCTCATTTCTCCCCAAGGTGAATGATGTCAGCTCCCTCTCCTGCCCTGAACACAAGCCCAGTGGCCGCTCTCTCCTCCTGGCCATCACTGCCTTGCACAGACATCTAGGCTGCTGCTGGTAATAAGAGTTTGCATTCTGAAAGTACTTGAAGATTCACAAAGTATTTTCCTCCCTCTGAAGTAATAGCCAGTATGAGGCCCATTTCACAGATGAGCTAGACAGATAAAAGGGCCAGCATTCTACCTGACACTGAGGCAGCAGGCTTCCACCACCCATACCAATCACAGAGCTCTTTGGGGTTACAAAGCACCCCATGCCCAGATCTCATTTATATCATCACAACAACCCTGCCATGCAGTGAGTCTGAGGATTACAACTTTGTTTGACAGACAAGGAAACTGAGGCTGACAAAGAATAAGTGATGTCAAGCTCAAATAGAAACAGGGCCATTTAACCATACCAGAAGGATCCCTGAAGCTGCAGAATGACTCAGAGAACCCCAAATGAACATTACCGAATGTTCCATTAGATTATTATTTGTTTTGCTCAATATTTCCCCATAACATTTAATCTGCTTCGGCCACACTCAGGAATACTGTGGCAAGAGTCTTCCATCCCCTGCCCCAGACTTAATCGTAAATAGCAGACCCAGCATGGAAACCTCTAACTGCCAGGCCAGGGCCCACCACTGCTGCCACACCCACCTCCAAGCTCAACAACCAGAATAATGGCTAGCATTTTATACAGGGGCTGAAGGGGTGCAGAGCACTTTAGTCACCTGGGGGATCGTGGGGGCTCAAGATAAGCCAGGGTAAGCAGCTTCCCAGAACCGCCCAGAGCCCTAAGGTGCCAAACTGTATTTTCAAAAGTGGGGAAGGAAGGCTGAGCAGAAAGCAAGGCACCTTTTCAGCTCTTGCCACCTCCACTGTTTAGTCTAATTATCACTCTTCTACCTAATGCATTTGATTGAACGCTGAGCCAGTCTCTCCCATTTACCAGCCGGTAGCTTGCCCACCGAGGTGCAGTTCTGAGCTGTGTCCCCACGGGCCATCGGGGAGACAACACCCGCCTAGTGAAGGATATTTATTAACCTTTAACTTGGATCGACAAGCAAACCATTAAGAAAAAGTCATGGCGCTAAATGTCTCACAGAGTTCATTAAGACGCTAAAAAGACCAGCTCCAGAGAGACACCTCATTGTGCACATTGATTTCTTTCAGGCTGCTTCCTTTCCTGTCCCACCCCCTCCTCCCATCTTGGCAGACTATTGTTTCTCCCACAAACTTTCCAAGGGATGGGAACCACTAGCCCCCATTACCTGTTGGAGTGGTCACTGTGCACTCTTTATATGGCAGCTGATTCAATCCCTCTTCCACAACAAGTCTGATCTGTAGAACAAAAGAAAGAATTATTGAAGATTTAATGAAGAAAATTGCCATCTGCCACATACCAGCCTCTAGTATGTTGGTCCCAAGGACTGAATGCCAGGCATCAACTCAGTATTATCTAAAGTAACACTTGAACCTTCGCAGGGGGAGGTAGGAGAAAGAGGGCCTTCCATGGCTCCGTCCACTCCTGTCTTAGAAGCACTAAGCTCATCTCATCTCAGCTCGTCACACACCCTCACTTTACTGAGGGGAAGCTCATGCAGAGGCAAGATTTGAACCCAGGTCCTCTGGCCCCAAATCTGGTGGTATACTCTTCTGTCTTTGACTAAGTGATCTTTATGGCAACTGTGAAATTTCAAACAATCTCTTTCCTTCTCTCACTCTCTCTCTCTCCGTCTCCTCTCTTCTCTTCTCTCTCTTTCCTCTCTTCTCTTCTCTCTCTTTCCTCTCTCTCTTTCTCTCTCTTCTCTCTCTCTCCCTTCTCTCTTTCTCCCTCTCTCTGTCTCTCTCTCTTCTCTCCCTCTCCCTTACTTAGGTAAAAAAGACAGTTGGTGTAAAGAGAGGAGCAGGGCAATTCTACCCCCAAAGGCTTCCTGGTGACTATTACAGGAGATGAGGAAGAAGAGCTGGGAAGAGCCTCCACAAAGAGGATCAGCGGCTACCCGAAGGGACCTTCTGACAAGAAAAGCTAGGCAGAGTCTGCACCACTCATTTTCTGCAATCAATATGACATTACTGATTGAAAAGAAAAAACCAGAGACAAACCTGGGCTTGGGCTCCATTATCCCAACCCAACAAAGGCTGTGCAGCCATTAAAAGGATCAATGCTAAGTGGTACAGAGCCCTTTGTCAGCCCCCAGCACTAGGCAGAGGGCCAGAACCCCAGGATCTCGGTATGTCATAGCTTCCAGCCACCACTTTTGAGGAAAATTTCTATTTCATATGAGCAAATTACAAGGCAAAGTCAGGATTCTTTCCTTTGAAGAGACTAGGGCTCTCTCCTGTTCTACCTGCAGAACAAGGTGCCTCCTGGGACCATCCTTTCAGCCCCCCCCCCCCCATACCTCAGCCTGGGACAGACAAATTGCAGAGAACCCTAGTCAGCTCTGAGCCCCACGACTCAGATGAGACCAGCTCAGTGGCCAGGAAGGGTAACAGAGCTGACTGCAGCTGTTAGACATTTTGCTAGCAGGGGCTCTCATTGACTGAGTAGCTAGCTGAATTCCTTAATACTAGGAACAGGGGCCACTTTCCTGAGACCAGAAACTTCAGGTCAACATTGGAAGAAGCCCAAGGCCCTGCCCTGAGTAATTCTCCCCTCCCAAGGTCATTCCTCCAGTCAATGTGACCCAGGGCCTCAGCTCTGGCTAAGACAGAATACCTTTCCTACTTGCCAATGAGTGTGGCCTGGCTTTTTCCAGGGGAACAGCCTTGAAGAAAAGCAAAGGCAGGGGCAGCTAGGTGGCACAGTGGATAGAGCACCAGCCCTGAATTCAGGAGAACCTGAGTTCAAATCCAACCACAGACACATAACACTTAACTAGCTGTGTGACCTTGGGCAAGTCACTTGACCCCATTGCCTAGCCCCCCCAAAAAAAGTAAAGGCAAATGAGAAGAGCTTCCTTTAGGAAACACCTGGCTTCTCTTCCATCCTTTCTCACAGCATCTGGCACCCAGTCTCTTGAGGTGGTACAAGGTATAAAAAGGAAGGCAGTTGAGCTGATCTGGGCTTGGTATATAGCCCCTGGGGGCCCAAGCAATTTTTACCTTTAAGTCTGAGATGATCAAGACCTCTTGTACATCATTAGTCTATGGCCTCATTTCACACATGAGGAAACTGAGGCCCAGAGAGCAATTTGCCAGGGTCACACAGTAAACAGTAGTCAATATTTTAAGCCAAATGCAGAAAAGTTGGTTGTGCTCTTTCAGCCTTGAGGAAAACTCAAGTAGAGTAACTAAAACCTCCAGAGAGGATAGGGCCTGTGATTTTTTTCATTTTCTCTTCCATTATCTGGCTAAAGTTACAAGGCTGAAACGCACTGTGCCTTGGCCTCCAAGAAGCATCAAGAAGGTCCTGGCCAGTTACCCCTCCCCCACCTCCAAGTGCACCTAAGAAATGTTTGTTGACTGATTCTAAGCAATAAACAACCCTGTTTTTCTCAATCCAACTTTGAAGCTGGTCACATACAGGATAGTTAAGGCAAAAGGCGTGGCCTAACAAACCTCCTCCGCATGAGATCAGAGTTATTAGGCCGGGCTAGGATTTGTAGGTAAAACCATTGAAGACAAACAATTCCCTGTTAGAAGGATGGTACCAGGAAAGTGTTTCCACCTACTATTCAATATATCCATGAGAAAAACAGATGAGAGAGCCCTGGCCCTGAAGTCAGAAGGACTTGAGTTCAAATCTGACCTCAGACACTTACTAGCTATATGACCCTGGGCAAGTCACTTAATCCCGACTGCCTCCAAAAAAAAAAATAGACAAGAGAAGCAGCAGACAGAACTAAAGCCCCTTCTCTGCCATGATCAAAACCCTCCTTTCTCCTTTAAGCAAAGGCCTTAGTCCTTGGGGGCTCTTCCTTTGGCTACATTAGATCCTCCTTTTAATTCCCATATACATGGTACTCGCTGCCCTGAGCTCTAAGAATTCCGTGGCAAAGGGCAGGTAGGTAGCACAGTGGATAGAACACTGGCCCTAGATTCAGGAGGACCTGAGTTCAAATATGGCCTGAGACACATAACACTTATTAGCTGTGTGACCCTGGGCAAGTCACTTAATCCCATTGCCTAGCCGAAAAAGAAAAGAAAAAAAAAAAGAATTCCCTGGCAGGTGAGGAAGCAGCCAGCCCAGCCTCATTTTACAGAGAAGTCAAACTGAGGTCCAGAGGGGAAGGGGCTTGCCTCAGGCCTCACAGCCAATGAGTGGCAGAGAAAAGGCTCAAAGCCACATCTAACTGGGGGACAGTAGGTCCTCAATGCTATAGAAAATGAGTTCACATGAACGACTTTGGGATGAAAGGGTATAAAGGCCAAATTTTACTCCAACCATAAAAGTAAAACTTCAAGAAGCTCAGCAGGCTGGCAACTGACTGGCAATCCCTCCCCCTTACCCTTGGGTAGCATTTGGCAGGTGTCACTAAGTCACAGCAATGAAACAGAAATGGGAACCCTCTACCTACCAAACGGTCTGCAGAAAACATGAAGTCCCCTCGACTGGCCGTCCTAAAAGAGAGTAGTACAATTTTAATGTAAATGACAACTTTATGGTAAAATATTAATTTATACATATAGTAATAACACTGATTATAACACCTGTTCTCTCTCTCTCTCTCTCTCTCTCTCTCTCTCTCTCTCTCTCTCTCTCACACACACACACACACACACACACAGAGCTAAAATCTCCTATGTGCAATGTCCAGATGTTTACCAGAAACCAGAGAAGCCATTTTTCTTTAATAAATGACACTGAAAAATATTTGTCCAGCATGCCCAGAGCAATTGGGTATTAAAAGGCCCATATCTTGGTAGAAAAAGCGTCTAAGATCAAGGGGCATCACTAAATCTATGCAGAACACAAACTGTCAAGAAAACTATCCACATAAAACTGGAATTTTCCCCCTGGCCTTCCTCCATTCTTCCTCTGTCCTGAAAGCCTGTAGCAAGAGATCAATAAAGCCTTCCTTTCACCGGTACCTTTCGAGAGCTTTTAGCTCCAAAGCCAAGCATTTAATGAGTGTTCCTTATGCCTTTCTTCAAAACCAAGCTCTCCATTTCATAAGCCATTCTGTTCTTGCTCTGCTTTTCTCTTCCTATGCATCCATCCTTTCTTATCCTGCAGTGCGTGCCTACCCATGATGAAACTGAGGTTTGTACTCCCACTGTTTAAACCAGAGCTCCATCTTGGGCAGACAGTCCCCTAACCCCATGTGAAAGGCCGTGCTACTGCTATGAGCCAAAACTTGTTCTCCTTATTTCTGGCCAGAGCCACCACGCCTCCACCAAACTGGCTTCTCTCATAAACACAACCATGCTGTGACTGATACTTGGAACTGATTCACATTCTGTGTGTTTATAGACCTCCCCCCCACCCCCCCGTCCATAGGACTCCGAAAACACACAGCCCAAGACACCCAAAAGGACATATGTGAAGCACACATTACTTGGCACACCATTTCTCTCCAGCCAGCCGTAGAAGCCACGTTCACTTTCTCTCACTGGGAGAAGCAGGGAAATGCTATACGTGCATACAAAGCCACTGCCAGCCTACTGTAGAGATGACCTAACTAATTTGGCCCCAGGATGCTTTGGGCTTGAAACATATCGATGGACCTCAGAGATGCTGGACCAGGGGAAGGGGTGGGCAGTACTGATCACTTCCAGGGGAAAGTCAAGGATATTCTGGAGCAAATAAGAGGAATTACAGAAGCTGATAAAATCTCAGAAACCATCTCACTTAATCCCAACCTGAACAAGACTCTCCTTTATAAGATACCCAACAAGTGTCATGTAGTAAGCCTACGTCTGTTTAAAAAAAAAAAAAAGAAAGAAAATGTGTTGCACATTAATAGGTATATATGTATATAAAACGCCTGTATTTTTTTCCTCCATTAAAGCCCTCTTCTGATGCCTCATAATAGTGTGGAGGTGAGCCTGGATTCTCAAAGTCGAAGCCCGTGGATGCCAAGCTCCGGCAGATCTGACATGCTGGAAACGCCCAGGCTGGATAAAAAGGGGCTGGCTTCTCACTAGCAGATGCATGGTCAGCAAGGGGAGCCTTTTCCAGACTACAGTAAGCCTGAGGGTGAGGGGAGGGCATCCACACACAAGTACTAATGATATGATTTCTTATTTCCTATTTTTTGAGGAAGACACAGCATAGGCACCAACATTTCTCACTAATTTCCTAATCATATTGAACAAAACTGTTTAGGTAAGTCCTCTACGATATCAACTATGATAGGACAATCAATATCCCAGGACATAGGCCATATATTCATAATTAAACTACAATTTCTCACCCTAGAGGGTTCAGCTCACATGCACACACACATACACTCACCCCCTGAATCAGAGCCCATGTTAAGTACCGACTTTCAATGGCCACACTAAACCTTGCTGCCTTTCATTTCTATAATCTAGCTCTATAACATTCCTGTTAAGGAAGGAAAGGGCAGTGAAATACTAATTTCATGTGTAGTTCCCTTGCTGTATTTGCTAGAGCCTGGACTAGCTTTTATGTAAGAATTCTCACTAGCAAACACAGCTCTGCCTAGACAATGGAAAATCTTTAAAAAAAAAAAAAGAATTTCTATCATTTTCTTAAAGAAACATAGAATGCAGATAGGGCAGCTATATCCCTTGAACCATCTATTTAAATATTCCTCTCTCTTCTAAGTCGGCATCCTTCACTCTGCCGAGTGACCAAAAACTCACAGATCTTTTGTTTTGAAATTGGAAATTAAATGCAAGGCCTTTTCCCCTTCCTTCACCCGGAAGTAGCAGCTTCGTTGAGTCCAAGTGGAGCAAACCCTTTTTCCTATCCTCCAAACAAAAACATCCCATTCCCCACTGCCCCCCCCACACACACACACAGACTAGCTCCATTCTGGGAGCAGAATACACATAGCTCAGGACAGTCTTGCTGTCTGTCTGTCCCTGACAGGCCCTCTAAGCAGGCATATTTGCGCAGTAGCAAGTCGGCATTACTTCAAATAATCACTAGCAATTCAAGTAATTACTAGGCTATCCCCCCGCTGCTCTCCAGACTTCAAATCTATGCTCTTTACTTTCAATCAATTTAGAAATTAACATATAGCTAGGATACAAGGTGATTTCAGTTTTTACAACCCAGAGTGATGGCCAATGTCTGTATTAAAATCCATGGCATTGCTGTTCCCAGTCCAAACTTCATAAACACCCAAATCAATCAGCAAGTCTTTACTGCACATCTGCCGTGGGCCTCTCAGCGGGGACCTTGACCTCTCAGAAGGCTGGGTCAGCCAATTCGGCTTGGCCAGGTCCTCCTGAGCCAGAAAGACCAAGGGGCAGACGCAGACTCAGGTGCCGCAGCCAGCCTCTGTCATCTCAGAACCAAGTGGGGAGAGGTTAATCACCCGAAGATAGGCCAACGGGTGAGGAATTCTTTGGCCACAGCAATACACGAAACCATTGACAAAGGCATGAAGAGCCTGCTCTGTGTCGCCCATGCAGATGAAATCACGGAGCTTTTGAAATGGGGAGGCAGCTGCAGCGGGGCGGCCTACTTCAAACAGTCCTCACTAGCCTATCCCCTGCTGCTTTCCAGATCAGCTCTGTTTCAGCTGAAATCAATTTCGGAATTCAAATATAGATAGAAGACAATAAGTTGATTACATTTTTTTTAAAATCCACAGCCACCTTCAGTGCCCACATTTACATTCATAGCAGTGTTGCTAAGGCTGACATTCTGTGAAAGCGAGTGAAGCCACGTATTTGTCTGACTGATCAATCAACAAATGTTTACCTTCTATTTGCCCAGTTCGAAGCTTGGCTGTGGTATGGATCTTCTGTTAATGGAGATGCTTTTATGAAAACTAACCCTAGGCCTCATTAGCCACAGAACCTTGGAGGAAAAGCTTAACTCGATTCCTTTTTGCCTTGGAACCACTAAACTGCATTTGTCCTACTGGGAATAAAGCTTTGAAAAGACATTTTAATCATCTTCTATTTGAAAGGCAACCCAGAGAACAAGGAGTGCAAAGCAAGCTACACACCCAGAGAGCTCAAGACCATTTCAATATCGCCGAATATTTAAACAGACAAGAACGTCCAGACACTCATAATTCATAGCGTGGAAATCAAATTAAACTTTAAGCTGAGTGCCCTTTCAATTGTACATCCTGATTGATGAAGGCGCAGCAGCCACACTGAAAATGCTCGGTTTGCCTCTAATTCCCCGAGCCCCACACGCAGGCAAAGGCAGCCATTTCTTCGGCTACTCCCGAGTTCTAGCGCTAAGCCGATGCCAGGTTGGGGGCTCCCCTGCTTGGTAAACTGGCCTCTCCCCTTCTCAAAAAGGAACCCCGTCCAAACATCCACGACCCTGAAGAGAGCTGTTAAGATGCTTGTAGTTGTGAGTTTATTATAAAATAGATAGATGCACCCTATAAGAAATTCAGGGAGCTAAAATGTAGCAGAACTACTAATACTAAGATCTCGAAACACCAAAGCAAATAACAACAACAAAATAACAACACCCCTTCTAACGCATTTACCCAAACCCCATGTAGATTTTTATTAGACTCAATATTTTAATTGGATTTTTTTTAAAGTGAATCAGCATTTTTTAAGTTTTGTTCTTGAAATTTTTTCCCCTCATCCTTGAAAATAATATGAAATTACTTCATAGGCATAATGGGTATCATATTTCTTATCCTCTCAATGGGTAGGGGAGAAGGTGGAGAGAGGGAGAGAATTTGGAACTGCAAATAAAAATTTTTAATTTTTTCAAAAAAGAAAGTAATATGAAAAAAGTTGAGAAAAACTTTTTTAGAGAACAGGTCAATGTTCTCAGTTAGTTACAAGTGGCCAGGGACTACTTTAGGGTACCAATCGCAAGGACTCCCAGGGGGCCCCCTATTGGTTTGGAAGGTGAAAAAAAACTACAATAACCAAAAATTATTGATGCTCCGAGTGTGCACAGAAAATCCCATTTAGTTTCTGCTCCCACGTGGCCTCACGTCTCCAGAGATAACACGCTTCATTACTAATCCAGAAAAGGGACAAGAGAATTACTGGAGACTACTGTTTCAGTGAGAGTTCCCTACTCTGTAAAATGAGGTAGACGGAGCCAGACGATCCCAAAGGCCCCTGTGTTCTAGTTTGGACATACAATGACCCATCAAATAGCTGATATTCTTCATTTTACAAAGCACAACAGGACTGGAAAAGAGCAAATGTCACCATTTTCCAAGAAAGAGACTAGACCAACTTAGCCTGAACTCTAGGCCCATGAGCCCAAACTCTGTTTCTGGCAAAATTCTAGAACATGTTATTAAAGGAATGGAGGACAGATAATAAGGAAGCACTAAACTGGCAGATGATCGAAGTGCTATAGACATATTTTTCCTGGATTTTCGCAAAGCATTTGATAAAATATCTCATGTCATTTTTGTGGAAAAGATGGAGAGATGTGGACAAGGAAAAAAACCAATTAAGTATATTCAGAGCTGGTCAGACTTAAA